ACACGAGCCAAGCCCATATTTATAATAACTCTCTGATATTGTCAAATCTTTGACAAAGGTTTGCTTGTGCATTGTTTGGTTCATTTCCAACTCAAATCCGGTATTACGTGGATGCCTTTCCGAGTTCGTTAGTTAATGCAATGGCGACGTGTGCTATTATTACGTATGTACAGGAGCAGTTCCTCATTCATAAATCCCAAAGTGTGTAGGCAGATGCCTAAAATATATGTGTGTATGGAAATCCCCTCCCTTCAAATTAGGAGGACCGATGAGTTGAGATTGAACAGTGTACGTACGTACGAACATGGGCTAAACTAACCTTACGTACCTTCCCACCTTCTACCCGGGTGAGTAATATTAATTGAACAGTGCTGAATGTGCAACAACAACACATTTACTAACAGGATTGGAATGAACGGAGGAAGGAGGCAAGTAAATTACATTTCATTGACCGGGTCCCCTGCACGATTAGTGCACTACAACAGCGTCAGTCGTCTCGTGTCTGCTGCTGCTTTATGGACTTTCCACTGATTGGGAGAGTGTGTCGTTCGTAGTCGCATGTAACAATAATGCTGTATATTGCTTGCGCACTTTTATGACTTTACACAGGGTTCAAGTATGAAGGTAGTGCAAGATTAATCGTCTGCTGACCTCACCTACCCCGACCGAGACATTATTAGTACTAGCCTAGCAAAATACGCAACTACGAAATTGCCAACTCGGCAAACCAGACGATGATGATGAAACTAGGAGATATTGCAATTGACTCATTCGTTCCTCTCCCTACTTTTACTTTCGATATTGCATGAAGAACAAACTCTGCTTCGCTCAGGGTCGTCTCACTTTGCTTCAAATGCAAAAGTAAATCCATTTGATTTACTTGAACGGAAAGGAGGGAGAAAAGCAGAATTATTGTCCCCTGCACCAAATATCGATGTGTTATGTCATTGTCACATTCACTTGGTGCTATATTAATGCAAGGATCACCATATACTTGTAAAGTAAATATATGTATGTAAGCGAGTCTAGAAATGCAATAAAGCCAAAGTACATATATCTAGTTGCAGCTAGCGAGTATACTAATAAACTAACCAGCATCAGTCACTGTTGGCTGTGCACAATCCAATCATTGTCTAAATTTCTGCAGTTAATTTACTCATGAATGTGCATAATGTGTTTGGTTAAGTCGACAATGTATACTTTTCCGGTCATTCCCGATACTCATACATTTTGGGTCACCCAAACTAGAAAATGCATGTGCACAAACAAAATGAAATGCATGAGCTATGAATGCGCACACGTATCGTCATATAATCACGATGGGGAACTCGATATTGTTTGTGGAATTAAGTTGAATAATCGAATCGGTTCATCTTTGGGCTTTAGATTAAAGTTACTCCAGCCTCGGTCCGACCAACACTACCAAATGTCCTGTATTAATGTGCACCAGAAATTTGGGTGTGCTACCTCATTTGACGTGACTTGCTTGATTCAAAAATAAGGGCACATAAATCCGAATTCAGCTGGAAAGATGCAGATCTACTAACAGTGGAATAAATACGAGCGAGTAAACTAAAGCCTGCATTCAGATCTTGCGATACAACAGCAAGAGCAGTGGGTCCGTCTCCACTACTGTGTTCATCCAGCTTTAGGAAGGATTAGTAAAATCAAACCGAAACATCAATCGGTCGGTATGTGTATTGGTCGCATTTCGGTCTTTGGGGCTTACTCACAAAATCCACCAAACCAAAACTAAAGACCTTTCTTCCACTTTTCACTCTCTGTTCTATTCTCCTCTGCCAGGCCACACTCATACGATTGCAGTGCCACTCCAACATGTATCTATTGTTTTTGACTCACTTGCTCCAAACAGTGGCAAGCAAATAAAAAATTTAATTTTCTCCCCGTTAAGCAGATACCGACCTGATGAATAATAAAAAGTATAAACATATGGTTCCATTTTCAGTCATGGTTTATTATTTTATTGAACTTTCCACCCGCAAGGTTTACTATCTAATGCCTATTCACACGTGTGTTTCTAAAATCAAAAAATGTGTTTTTGAAATATTGACATGTTTGTTCATAAATGTTCTGTTTTGCTTCACTTGACATTTTCGAACTGTAACTAGCAGCGTTCGATGACTTTGTTTGGTAATTATAGAAGGCACTGGATATTTATAAGTGCAATACATGCAGCCCTATAAAATGAATCATTCGTTTAGCAGTTGGTCCAAACATTAGAGTCACATTCCATTGTGCATTATGCATGTAGTCAGAAGAAGTGTATGGGCAAATGTGAGTAAAGGGAATTGTTTCACACTCGCTCTCTCTTTACCTTGTCGTTATTAATACCGGGAGAAATGTGAGGGGTGTGTACCACCGCGAAGTGCAGTTAACAATGTTATTGAAATATTCATGAAAATTCAAGTGCTTGTGGGTGCAGTCGGATGTGAGTAGTCGTCGTCGTCGTAGTAATGGAGGTGGTGCAATATGTAGCTTATTGTGGCCATCATATGCCGATTTCATTGTCACACCAGAGAACCGCACCAACAACCCCGAGACCGAGAGCGGGGAAAAGTCGTTGGAGTCTGGAGTTGAGAGCTTCGGCGACAGATTTGAAAGTTTGAAACAATGGTGGAATGATTTTAAGCACTTTATGTGCATGTGCGTTATTATTTATTTTAATGCCCGATCTAACCACGGCCATAGAGCGGTATTCATATACATCTTCTCCCACATATTTCACACACTTCTGGCCGTTATATTTGCCATCGCATTTCCAACTTCCTAAATTACCACCATGTTCGGTCTGGCTGGATGTGTAAATTGCAGTATGTAGTGAGTCGAGGATATGTAAATGTCAACCCTCGGAATTATAAATGATTTTGTTGGTGCTCCGTTCAAGTCGGGAGATGAAGCGACGCAGCAGAGTGAGAGAGACAACTGCATATTTAAACTTGTAGGAATTTCAACAACTGAATATCAGAACTGTAAAGGTTGTGGTGAGATATTTGGATTGGATTGAAGGATTGTCTGTCAAAAGTGTTCATGTCTTTCGCACGGGATGGGTTTGCTACTCAACACTGCATTTGTGTTATCAGTATGAATGATATACATGCGGAGCTAATATATGTACATTTTCGCGTGGAGCCAGCTTTCCACCACCTTTATTTAAATAAAACAGAGCGAAGGTTGTTGTGACAGTCCAACATTAATTGAAAACGGGAACTAATAAATTTTTGGCCGGTATAGCATTTCCATTTTCATTAGGCTCTCACGTCTGATGTTGTGCGAGAGGCGTTATTGATTTTGCATTTTTGTAGCTACATATGCATACCTACTCTACCTACATTTGGTAAACATTTTATTATTTTTATGAATATATTCTAGTTGTTGTGTCGTCATAGCTCACAAACCATGCTCAAATGATGATCTGATGTATGCAAGTCCAACCGCAACGTTCCATTGTTTCCTTGTGCGTGATTAACATCATATTAATTAAACAAACAGATTAATTGCTGATTTTGTTGAAAAACCATACAGATCTCATTTAGTACTAACAGACTTTTAATATTTGGCACCGTTAAGCATTGGTCTGTATTACTCTCAATATGTATTTGAATTTGATAATAAAAATATAGTTACATAATAAAAGTTGAACTATTGACTATTACGCAGTATCTGAAAATCGTGTGTTACGGGCTGCAAAATATTAAAAGCAAGATGAAGACCCCTTTATTACGGCCGTAAAACAAACAATTACCAAGCAAACACCCCTCCCTCCTACGTTAAAATTGCGGAAACGCAATTTCTCCCTGCCATCGTGGCTGACGTTTCCATTTTTCATGGAAAGGAAAGCAACAACATTTTTATTGAGATTGAGTCATGCACGACTGAAAAAATGATTTAAAAGGTCGCCAGCCCATCACAAACTACATTGCTATCATATTATCACATCGCACACTTGGATGTAGGAATTACTGCACCGCACCGAAACTATGACTAACAAAATAACCCCCGACTACTTACATGTAGTGCGACGATAGACGATGAATACTGAATCAGGTCGTAAACATCCCTCCGCCATCAAGAAATAAAGAGGGGAAAAAATATTTACAAAATTGTTTGAGCCGCTATCTATCCCAGAATTTGCTCTTACCTTATTTATGGGCATACACCAAGGACCTCATTTGCAATTATTTTTAACAAGTTGCACTCATACGTACAAGAAAGCGTCGTGTTTCTGCAGTCGGCGCGAGAGTTATATGTATATTGGTCCCTTTGTGGACTAATTATTGTTGTGGGAGGGCTCCTTGCAATTCAAAGTCGTGTATAAGCTAGTTCCCTCTCCCTCTCTGGTGTAGATAATAAAAGCGGTGGAAAAAACGTCACCTGTCATGTCAGCAGCATAAAAAATGATTAAAAAGCGGAGGAGGGTTGAAGGGTTCTTAACAAAGCACACACCATTACGTATCGTATCATTTGATCCCAACTCAGATCACCATACGGACTCGGATGGATATGCGAGATCCTTTCATCCATTGCGAGATACAGCAAATCAAGCGAGCGTATGTACATATGTATGTATGCATAGGCACAATAAGGGTCCAATGTAAAAAAGCGTGTCTGTCTGTATATCTCATCTTCCAGACTAAATCTTGTTGATGCACTTGGACCCACCCAAATTCTGATTCATAATCTTAGTGCATCTTCCAACCATGCACAAACGTAATAAGACAGCAATCCTGTCAGTTTCCTTGCACTTTAGCATGCAACACCATTCTATTGGATTAAATGAAAGTTGAGATGGGAATTGCATCCCATAAAATATTTCAAGACTCGTTTTATCAGGAGAGAAATTGCTTTCAACTTTATGTTATTAGAGTTCCGGGTCTTGCTCAATTTCAAATTATTATTGCATGCATACCGGGAAAGGCGTAAATAATATTGGTTCGCTTAACAACACGAGGGGACAATTTATTTAAATCTTATTTATTTTGCTCGTCATTCTCTGAAGAAGAAATCTGAATATGGGAAGACTGGTTCTCTAGTCGAACCTGTAATACGTATTTTATTCAGTAAATAAAATCAGGGTAGAGAAATTTACCTTATAGTGACTTCATTCCTTTTGATTTGATTAAGGCAAGAATGAGAATCACAAGAACTGACCTCACTCGTCGCTGTCACTTTTTGCAGTAAGCAATGAATCAACTTTTTCACTTCTTTTGTGATTTGTGATGTTAAATAATGATCTCTCGAGGGAGAGAATGAACAAAACGTGCATACACTTATCGATCGTCGCATTTATAATTCAGCTTGTCTCTGAAGAGAAAATTGAAATAAGTATTAAAAGTTGTACTTTTTTGAAATAATTATTAACAGTTATACGTTTATGAAATTATACTTATTTTATTTTAAAACTAACCCAGGTCGAGTTCTTGGTCGATTAAACTGGCCAATCTGCTTCTGTCGTTCTCGAAAGCGAAGGCTGCTCGCTCTCGATTGCTCTCTACAGAGAAAATAATTATAAAATCATTCTGGTTTTTATCATCATAACAAAATATATTACCTCTGTGCGATTTTTTTTTCTTTTGAAGATCCGTATTTAGAATTTGGACCAGGTGGGCGATGATATGATAATTTAGATGACTCTCTACAGAGATATTAATTATTTTACTCATTTACTTAATAATAATGGAAACATTTAAAGGTGCAAAATAATTCTGGTACCTGTTAGCGATCAGGCGTTCCTCATCATTTGCACGCCGAATGTATGTCCGGTTTTTCTCCACATATTCCCAGGGGATTTCAGGGTTCTTTTTCATGTGGAATCCCCTGTCTGCGGCTACTCGATTATATTTCCTGTAAAAAAACATGTATTAATCTCTTGGGAGAATTTACTATAAATATAAGCGCATACCTCCTCTGCTCCGGACTCATCAGAGACACCGGCACATCGAAGTACGACGCCACCGTACGATGAACAACTGTTCGGCTTGCACCACTTCTCTGTAGAGATCCAGCTGACGACGTTGAAGGTGGGGAAAGAACTGCAACTTCGTCGTCATCATCGTCATCGTCATCCTCCTCGTCGTCGTCCTCCTCCGACTCACCGTCAGTCAGCAACGATTCACTGTAATAAGGAAATAATTGTCAATTTCTAAAAAAAATAATTGTTATTCTCTGTAGAGATATTTCAAAAAGGTGCATTTATGAACAAACTTACTTATCGTCATCCGGATCGTCGAATAAATCGACTTGCGTACCCTGACATTCATCTTCCGACTCGTCTTCCTCACTGTCAGACACTTCAGTGTCGTCCACCACGACGACGTCTAGGACACGATAAGCTCTGCAACAAGTAAAAGAAATAATTGAATAAATAATTATGACATTTCTTCTCTCCAGATATTTTACACACAATTATTGTCATCAAAACTTACTTTTCAATCTCATCTTCGTCAGATGATTCCAAATCCAGATGTGGTCTCTCGGGAGAATTCTCGACCGAGGCTTGTTGACCATCTCTCTGCTGACAATCACTGTAATAATAATAGCAACAAAAATTAAAACTTTGAATTTTACTCACTTTTCTCTGTAGAGATATGATAACTTACTCGTCGGAATCCACAAACGCGACGATCCTCCTCTTCTTCTTCTTTAAATTAGGAGAAAAACTCATATTTTTAATAATTGTCTATTATTCTGGGTGTGGTTGCAAAGAAAAACAAAATATTTTTGCGGCCTTGTTGCTGCTCGGCTTGCAGTTTGGAAATGAGTATCTGCAGGCCTCAATTTACCCACGCCATCAGCAGACGCCATGAAAAACAAGATAAAACTTGTCTCATTTTGTCTCTTTAGAGAAATTGTATGCATCAAGCAGAAAATCTCATCTTTCCCATCATACCTCCAAGTTTGAATTATTGCCATCGCTTTGATTTCATTTGAGAGGGCAACTACAACAATATTGTAATTTTAATTAATGGTTTGGTGAAGAATAAATATGACCGAGCCGTTTCAACTATGTCATACGTACGAACATACATATGTACGTACACTACGCCAACCGTATAATGTAACCGCTTCATATTTGGTAATAATCATGAAATATACGAATTTGCCTTTAGGTGTGAATTTTAAATGATGATGTCAGGCACGCGGCTAACTACATATTATGTGTATCAGTATTCTTAAATGCGTTGCCACAACGTATGAGAGCATGTTGAGGTGGAATACAATTGGAAATAACGAACATAAGTAATGGGTGGAAAACCATATTACATTTTACGACATTAAAAAAACAAAGTTCCCTCAACATATATTCGTTATTATTTAATTGCATAATAATTACAATGTTCCAATTTACCGGTGCCGTGATTTTGGAATAAATTATATTTATTTCTTACCGCATAACAAAAAATTAAATTGTTCGAAAGAGCAATGTATTGCAAAAGTACAAGTTTGTATATGTACACATGCATCTGAGAGTGTTTAGGAGAGCTACAAACAAACGTTAAGCACACCCTAAAATTTTCTGATTGCTAGTTTTTCGCCAAGTGTCACTTACCCATTACTCCTAATTTATTGATGTGCCGTACTGACACAATGCTATTCTGTTGAAAACGCAAGTTGAATAAAACAAACAGAGGCGCGCCAAACATCAAAGAAATATATTTGTCATTACACCTCCAAAACTAAAACTGCATGCAATTTTTCGATCAAAGTCCAATTCGATGCCAATTATTTAGATCGAGTTGGTGATAAAAAGTCGCGCACAAAGTGATTGTAAGAGCAAAAATATGCAATAAACAATAAGAGAATAGATCAAACGCTTTCCCATGAGCATTTCTGCATACATACGTAACCCACCATTGAATTTACCTTTTGAATTGTTCCGATGTGTTATCTTTGGTGCAAATGCAATGACTAATAAAGACGTAATTTGCCAGATATCAAACATTGATCCGTACGGAAACCTACACCGTTCCTTTGCTATAAGGCACTCACACTATCATAATATTTCGCTCCACCACACACACCACATAAATATCCCACTGAGCCACTTCACTCATTGGCTTTGATAGAACACAACCATAAACTTGCTGTGAAGAAGAGGGCAAGAAAAGACGACCAAATTTCTCAATCGAACAAAAACCAATTCGCATTCTGGACAACACATGGAATCGAACCGCATTTCCACTTTCTTTATCCAGCGAAATAGGCATCATCGTTGGTGTTCCTCCAAAGAAAACAGAACGTGTAGCGTGGAAGGAGCAGGGCAGCGGAATTTCTTTTTCCTCTTTCTTCGCCCTGCACGTTGTCGCCTCGTCTTTGTCCCACTGAGCCAAAGCCAGGAGAGAGAAAGAAAGAAAGCAAGCAGAAAAGAAAGCATACATGTTGTTAGCCTGGTCGCTGGATTGAGCCGAAAATGTAGTTCACTTTCTTTCCCTGTGACACGAGTCAAAAGCTCGCTCGCTCTTCGCCTGTAGCTGTAGCACGGTGAGACTGGAAGAGTTTCAACATGCTACAACCTCGCAGCAGTAGCACGGTCTCTCCCCAAGTTTGTTGAAATAGGGGAGATTTTGGTAGGTTGGATGGTTAGTTTGCTCTTGGTGGGTTTCAGGCAAGGCTTTTTGTACAAGGAAAAGAGAGACTCTGTCAGCTCGACCAAGTTGAGCTTTTCAGTTTGCTCTTCAAGCCCGTGGGGGTAAGACGTGACTCTGGTTACTATCATCAAAGTTTAATAATTGTCTGAAAAGTCAACTCACATTCGTTCGTGTGGCGATACAACAACTTTGGAGGCAAAGGTACTTTTTTCGCTAAAATTTGTTTCAATTTCATGACTCAATTTATCTCGCTACATAGTGAAATGGTGTTGGCTAAATGTCGTGGTTATGGGGCTGCAGACTTGTAACGATCTGCCGGAATAGCGGATTTCATTTATTCTGTCTGTGAAACTGTGGGCAGGTAAAAATCGCACTGTAACCGTGGGTTGTGAGGAACATGCATTTGTCTCATTTTCTCAGAATGCAACGCATAAATCTCTTAGATATAAAGTCACGGTTTTCTTGGCTGTTGTTTGATTGAATTTAGAATTTTATTAGACCTTGTTAGACCAATTCACCAAGTGTACGACAACAAGAAGGAATTCGATGAATGATATTCATTAATAATTCATCCCGTGTGCGCAGTTTCTTGTTCCACTGGGTATAAGCATATTCAAAAAATATATAATTTTGGCCGAGCAATTCCCATTATTTGTCCATCACCACACATTCAGATGGATGGATGCGAGTATTACAGTTTGTTTGATCTGTTCAAACATGTCAGAGTCAGTCAGCAGGCGAATTTGTTGTTGTCTTGATGAATAATGAAGCACCCACAAATGAAAAATGCCAATATATATTAAATTTACGTGTCATTAAAATTCAGATCCATTGGCTTTAAAAAGCAAACAAACAATCTCCACTAGGCGACTCACCCTCGTAGCGTAGCCTCAGTGCGTAATACGAGTTTTCTCAGTGAACTAAGACGACTGTTGGCCGACTTCCATGCAAAAGACAATTAACATATTTCCCATTCAATTAATTTGAACGAGTCAATTTAATTCCTGCAGTAATTACAAATGTTTAGCTTGGCTTAACTACTCCAGCCAACAGAGCGGAACCTCGTTGGACTTGTTGTTGGCGTTTGAAGTTAGCATTATTACTCCAAAGTCGCTGATAATTATTATAATCACGCTTGTCAGTTGTACAAATATGTTAATGAATATCCTCCAAAGAACAATTCACAATTTACAACATTTTCATGTACAAGTAAACTAAGGCATGAGCCAGCCAGTCAGTCAGTCAGCGAGCCACTCACATCCACAGCGCATAATATGCTTCCACAGACAACGTCCGACTACGACGACTCATGCACATCATCTCGGAGCTTGAGATTAATTTATCTTGTGTCTCCTGCCTCCGCTCACTCATTATTCTCTCGTCTAACTTGCAGATCTTGGTCATCACAGCAGCAGCAGATTCAAGACATTCCTAATTCGTGTATCAAGTGTTCCCATTCTGAATGCTAAATAGCACGAGATATTAAGAAACTGAAGAAAGGAGTTTATAAGGAGTTTTGACGTTTCATTAGTCTCACTCTGTGTGTGTGTTTTTGGGAATCGTGCTCACCATTTACATAGAACTTCTCTCATCCTTATGCCACACGTGTTGTGCCAGCTTTTACGCTGCTGACCGTGAAACAACAGCCACTTAGACATCGCACCGTTCCGTGTGTTGATGCGATTTACGAGGATAACGATATTTCCACACAAAAGACGTCAACTTGAAAAGTGGAAAATTTAATGCTGACTATGAGAAAGTGACACTCGTGGTGCTGATGCCGTGTGTATAACATTTCCATACGCAAATAAAGGCAGACTTATCTCCACATATTACTAAAACCTCCTCCACTTCGTGGACCGAATACGGGAAAAGAGAAGCAATGAAGCTTGTCTGTTGCGTATGAAATTCAATTTTCTCCTCAAAACCTGCACCACAGGTGGAAGTTATTGAGACAAGTGTTTAAAAAAATACATGGATTCATACATCGCGTATATAATAACAATAACTCATTGAGGGCAAATACCTACCAGAATTGTTACATATGTAACAGACATTTGCAGATAACATCTCAATTCATCACAAAACTGGAGCAAACAACAAGCACGAACAAATTAGTGAATTTCCTTCTTGGGAAGCTAATAATTCTACATGTTTAGACAGATTTGTAAGTAATAGAGGAAAGAGAACGCTTCTACTGTTTATGTTTAACTGAGTAACTGTTACTCTAGTTTGTTACTGCGTTGTGAAAGAATATTTGCAAATTTCTTGCAAATGAATAAAGACTTGCTGAGCGGAAATCTTGCCAGCTTTCTTGCCTGCTATCCGTTTCTGGAGTAAGAAAGTCAAGCTAAACAAAGTAAATATTAGGTCTGGAAGTTGCAGCGTTATTTCGCTTTGATCGTTGATAGCGAAACAATGTGTCGTTGTTTATATATACGAGTTTTATGTATGTAGCTAAGGAGGAGCGTGCAAGAAAAGGGTCAAGCTCATAGTGTTAACTTTACAAATTGGACAGGAAGTTTGTATGAAATGGCGACTATGTGAAAATTAAGTGAACTGCTGGTGATTTGCGCAATCCGTCATAAAACCGGATTTTACGTCTTTGATGTATGTTGTAACTTGTAACTCAAAGCTTCTCTTCTTGTGTATTTACTAATCCACACTCCTCTACGCGTTCCTTCCTTTGAATGGAAAGTAGTGAAAGTGAAGCAACATGAGCCAACTCTAGATTTCATCTTTGTGTATGCCATCGTTTTGCGGGGAAACTTGATATATTTGGAGAAAGTGGTCGTGTTGAATGCAAGGACATTCTGACTGGATGCCAAACAATCTGAGAAAGAGAGAGAGAAAGCACAGTTGCCAGTGCTACAAACCCAGAGCTGCAATAGTGGCAGTGCTGGAGATGCGAAGGAACTGCAGTTTCCACTGGATCCATCATCGCCAGTCGTGAAAGGTATTGTGTGCACCCCGAATCCACAAGTTCAACACAACTTTTGGGCGAGAGACTTTCACTTGACAAAGCAAGTCTTAAACTTTCTCAAAGAAGCCATACGACTGCTCTTGAGATTCCGCCACGATAAGAAGTTAAGTGAGTGAGTGAGGGTAGTGTAGTGGGCAACTGGAATCTGACTTACATACACACGACCAAGGCCCCTGGTAGTGGTTGTGGCTGGTATACACTGAATCCGATTGTGGTTCTTTATAAAGCTTTTGCCGGTTTGGCAGGATCCAAAGAGATCAAATCGAAGAGTGAGAAGACGGACAGATCACCGAAGAGGAAACCAACCAACAAGGATCCTCCTCAGCCATTGACGAGGAGGAAGCAGATTCAACTCCCAAGTGGTTTCCCTACCACCGCCGCCGTACATATATTCACCAAAGTCAACTAAATCACAATTTACTGCAACAAATAGATGCGATGCCGTCGTCGTCCTCCTCCTTCCTCCCCGTCCACCTTGATCATAACCACTTTCTTTCTTTTGTTGCTGCTGGTGGTGGACAACGAAAGAGGATCTGAATTGGATTAGACACGCATTGTGTCATCATCTGATGGTTTTTTTGCCACTAATGCCCATACAGCTGATAAATCAGATTACGTACATACCTAGCACCAGCAATGAGACTTTTTATGTCGTTACATTTAGAAATAAATAATCTCGACTTGACTCACTGCATTGCAGCAGTCCGCACGGAACCAAGTTATTTCTCTACACCTTGAAAACTCGTGTCAAATTTCGCGAAACTTTATTTGCCACAAACCCGAAATTACGATAATGCTTGCCGATTATTATTATAAGTTTATTTGACAACATAACAGTCGTTGTGGTTGTGAAACTACTCCTCGAGCACATAAGTGGCACATTCTATATGCAGTAAACTAATGAAGTATTGCAATCCCAGGCTGGAAAATAAATACCATCGGCAGAGTCGAAATGCTTAGGGTTCTAGGGTTGTAAATAGGATTTGTTGCCCTGTATATGTGTCTGTGTGGGTGGGAGAAAAAAAACTGTAGCCAAGTGGCAAGTAAGTGGAAGGTGATTTACGACCGATAATTTTTTTCATGACCTATCACAATGAACCATCGACATGGTTCAGTTCAAGACACTTTGATCAGTAGTGGTAATATTGATCATCATCCGTGCTGTTGGCTGGAAGGCGCTGATGCTGATTGCCACCAACAACACTACTTTGGATCTCATTCCTACAATACCAAGCCCAATATTTGTTGTGGCACTGATTCGAATTCCAAGTCGAGTGGTGTCCGTCGCGGAAAACTTTCCCCAATTTCTCCAAGAATGATTACGTCTGCTGCTGTTCATGACAGTGGTTTTAGTAGCAGCAGAAGCAGTGGCATTAGCAGTGCGACTTGTCAGCAGAGGAAGAAATCCACTACCCACGTCACCATCATCAACCAGTTTCACCTCGCCTCAGGAAGAAGGATGGATGATGATTCTGCTCCCATTTCCGATTATCTTCATCCCCACAGAAAAAGTGTACTTTCACACAATCCCAATGAAGTGACCGGTATAAAAAAGTCTGAACTGACAGCAAAAGTCAATCCCACAACCATGTTCTGGTTCATTTGTGTAATGAACCATTTTTTGAAAAAATTGCCAAAGTTCTTTTCAAACTGTAACTATAAAAATAAGTTTATTGTATGTTCACTCTTTTGGAATCTGCTTCTCACATTGTGTTGGATTAGCCCGAGTTGTGGTCAAGGTAAGAAAAAAGCTCACCTTGTATTTGTAAATAGGTATTTTAAAAGTAGACATATTTATACCACACACATTGATAAAATCTAATATTGTAAGCGAGTACCCATTGGCAAATATTTGCAGACAAATCGATTAACACATTATGCAAATGAACCTTGAGGTTCGAGTGTTGTCTGTTTGGTGTAAGTAATTTTATGTATGAATTTATAATAAGCAAAGCATCACGAAACATTGATAGTGTTCCTGCCACGTACTCACTTGGCTGGTATTTCTCAGTAGTGGTTAATACGCTTTAATTGTGGCTGGTTGGCTATTACCGGTAGTGGCATTAATAATTCCATCGGGAATATATAATGCTGGCTGACAAGTCGCAAATAACTTACAGGCAGCGAAATACATACAAAAAGCAGGTACGAAGAAGAGGATGTTACATACATATTTCAACCCTCTTCTACAAATGTTGATTTGATGCTCACTTCGCATGATGGTACAGTTAAAAAATAAATTAACGAAACACTGAAGCCTGCAAATGACACGAAAGAATGAATAAATATTAATATCATCAAAGTATATGTAGAGAAAATTAAATACAAGTTTGGAAACAAATATGTATCTGCTGGGTTCTTCTTCCTTTTCGATGCGTTTTGCGAATAATTTTCTATCCGTGAGGCATCATATTCGTGAAATATTTATATAGGTTAAAACTATCTTGATGCAATTCTGGAGGTTGGCATTTTAATTCTAAAACACAAGACTAACAATTATTGTTATGAAAGTTGCTTTGATGAAAATAATAGTGAAACCTGCAAAGCCTGGAAAGTTTATTTGCCTCTGTCAACTCAATGTCAGATCAAATCAAACTCTTGGTAACCGGAAATGAGTATGTGCCAAGTTTTCCTTCATAATTGAGTTTCGATTCGCACCCGCCAATAGAAATTTTACGCATTTGGTTAGACAATATATTATTCATGGTCCCAAATACCGTATTTATTCGCACCAAAGTCGATTGCAATTTTAACGTCAAAAGTGAAAGCACACATATATACAAAAGCAAATAGTGTGAGCCTGCGAAGCCGTGGAGACAGTATTATTACCGTGATGATATTGATAGCCAAGATCACACCAAGTTAGTCGGGTACAGCAAAACCCATCACGCACCGTCTCAAAAATCTCTTCCTTTTTGTAAGGTTGCGTGCACATGACGACAAAGGGAACAATTCTAAATAATAGAGCTAGGCTGACGTCCTGTGGATGAAGATAAAACGAGGGATAAAAATTATTCAGAGTAATGATTCACATGGGTTCCATCTCAACTTCCAGACGTAGTTCATTCATAAAGCCCAACGAAAATATTATGCACTGCAGCAGACTCTCTCTCTCTCTGCTGTCTCTGCATTTGCTCCCAGTAGTCCGAAGCAGAGTATTCGGATCCTTGCTTTATATGCGTGTGGAGTATGCATATAAGGTATCGGAAGGGATACGAAAAGATCACTGCCAACCAGCGGGTGAATAAAAGTAAAGACCGATTCGATGGTAACAGGGCTCAAAATTACCCCATATTTCCCAAGAGGGTTTCAGTCATGAACAACGAGCGGATGCTGCCCGGATATGCATCCCAAAGACCATGTACTTGGAGATGGGGTGAGGATTCCCTGCTTGCCTGTTACGTATACGTAACATTGATTGGAATGAGCACATTGACAAGGACGCATAGGAAGATGTATTGCTCGTGCTGGTAGTGCAACTGGCCATATTTGACTGCTGACTGGAGAGATAACAAATTCGGCAGTTGCAGTTGCACACTTATTCCCGGTGCGCCAAAGGGAGTACCAACTATTTATTACTGCATTGAAAAATTGGATACGTATGACTAACGTTGTTTTGGTCGGTCGATTTCAATTTTTTTCTTAAACAGGGGAATAAGAATGGGAATGTACTTTGCTCAAAACGGTTCAAGGATGTATCGTCGCGTATGTAAATCCCTGAGCCTTTGCTCTTTTTAGAAATATTAATCAAAATTTAATCAACCTGACAGGATTGGAATCAAAAAGGCTTGGTAGGACGTCGGTAGTAAATTTGCTCGTATGAAAGGAGGCATTGTTTCAATTCAGCAATAAAAATATTTCCAGCAGACAACCCCAAAAGGTTCGAATAATTGTTGTCCAAATAAAACAAGCATCAACCTAAAACCTGAATGACTATTACATCCAGAGCACACACTTAATTCTTGTAAGTCACGCTCCAGTTTATTTGGATTGTCTCTCCCCCCATGTAAATTCTTGGTGTATGTATTTGGAATGTGTATGTACGAATGTACGGTAAGCGCACCAGAGAGTAAAAGTCAACGCAAAGAAAAATGCAATTGTCTCTCTGTTGCGGAACGTGCTCATGTAGATCTTGCTGTTAAGGATGCAAAGTTGAGCAACACATTCATCTTATGCGACTTGTTTTCTAGACACTCACTCTGCAGCCAACTTACTTTGATACTTTTTATTCCGTCACATCTCGTTACTTTCTTTCCATGATTCAAGAGAGAGAAAGAGAGAAGGACAGGCGTTGTTAGCAGAAGAAATCCTCCGGCTCAACACTCGCGCGTGTGTTGCAATCCATATGTGAGTCACAGAGCAATTTGCAATACCTTCGTAGCAGCGAGAAGGTGAGCTCTAAATTATCATGCCGCTCAACAACAAACTTCGTAATCATATTGCATCACATTACACTTAAATTGCAAAAAGTGTACCCTGATGTATTTTTATACATGAAAGAAGGAACGAAAGAAATGTATACACTGGTAATGAGCTTTCTCCATTTATTTGAACGTTGTCGTCGTCTCTCTTTCCCAGAATTCGTACGAGTACGAGTTTTATCAGAATTACTCTTCGAGCTTCATCATTTTTCATGTTGAGACAAAGTTTGTACTCGATTCGGTTTGCATTCGTCAAAATGGAATATGCAGATAGCACTCAGCTATCTCAACCACTCGTCAGTACTTCAATCAGCCCAATGTACTTGTGCACATGTAAAGTTCTGTCATCCAATCTTGTGCAGTTTTTCTTTTTATTTGTCATACGAAAGAGTAAATTTGATTTGACATTTGATTTACTCATTTTTATCTGCATGACGAAAAGTAAATGTCTTTGCTCAAGTTCTTTCGCTGCATTAACATGCTATTCAAAAAAATATCTAGAAAGCTCTGAACTGGATCAGGAAAATAGCTGTAATAACATTGGATTGCTAGCTTGCATATCAAAATCTACCCAGCCAGACTCTGCATATTCGTAATCAGCAAGGCACAAACATATTGAGAAATCAGTGCAGTAGGATCACAGAGAGGAAAACTTTTTGTATCTAAAGCACAAGTACGAAGGACGGCATTGCTGCTATGGCTTTATGACTCTGTTAAAGTAACACAAGTTGCATTAGTACTTCATTCTATACGAATTACAAATGGAATAAAGCGGGTTTTAGAGTTTTCCTTCCTTGCTCGGTTGGTTTACTTGAGAGTTGAGTTAATAATACGTTTCCATTCCGTGAAATGGCGGTGGAAAGTAAAACCATCTCATGACCATATCTTTACTGCCGTTTTCATATGGTGGTGGGGTTGTACTCCTAAGCACTACTTCAAGAGTCAGTAGACGCGAATCGAGCCGATCCTTGCAGAATAAGTGGGGGTAGTTCCATTCTATCCCGTGCATTATGCTCTCCATCCAACTATTTTGCAATGTGTCTCGGCCGCATGCCTTATCTGGAAGAATTTGACAAATATATCCAGTCACAATTTCATGCTTTCACTCTCTCAGCACTCTTTTATGGGGCTTGGTTGTCGGCTGGGCGGGCATTTTTATGACGAATACTCTTAGCACAAGTCAAAATTCTCCATTCTGTCCCAAGTATGAAAGCAGAAGGAGAATGCCACGCAGCAGCAGCAGCAGCATCGACGTGTGTGTAGGTTCCTGTGAGTAGCAAAGAACGAAAGTAGTGAAATGCTCAAGGTTTTTTTGTTCACTTTCTCTGGTTCGACACTTGGGTTCCGGTTCACATGTGGAATGGCAGCCCAGCACATGTAACAGCTCACAATCATAAAATAGCCTGCTTCCTTGGATCATTTTTCTTAAGTAAATCTCTCCTCAGCCGTAGAATCAATGATGCTTGAGTTTGATTTAGGGGGCCATGCTTACAATCATTCATTACTTGTGCAAAGTATAATAATACATATATTCCCTCATGCACGCAGTGAAAGTAGAAATCGGAAATGGGGAATTTTTATGAGACCCTGAATGCTCAAATGGATCATTGCATCCGATGATAATTTTTATTGTTTCTTCTGATTTCTGCCCCTCCCACCCTTTGCCGACTTTGCTTTGCTGAATGGCCCATCATCATGAATAGCAAACATGTTACTAAACTCCCTCACTTGCTCGTAAATCTTTGAAGCAAGTGGGTATATGCTGATGTAGAATTGTGCACACACACAACGAGAAAGAGAGAGCAGTGGCATGGCGTGTTTTTAACCAGATTGGATTTGGACTTCCGGCTTCCTTCTAATGGGTTGTATGGTGCACTAAGCGTTAAATTTTTCCATCAATTACCTACAGTCCGTCATGTCTATCAAGTACGGGGCAAGGGATTTGCGGAAATCAAAGAAATTAGCTACCTTTCATTTTTCTTTTCAAAATGCGTTTCTAAGAACACAAACAACGCCTGATTTTCCATGGAGGAAGGTGAAGAAACCGTTTCAGTGCAAGTGGAGTGAGGATTCGAATCGATATTATTAAGAAAGCTTTAGCTGGGCACATATTGCCAAACCAATGCCAGTATCCGTTCAATGTATTATTACGTACATGCCAATTTTAAGTTTTACGATCCATTTATACCTCTCGCCAGTTTATGATGACTTGATGAGGTTGAAACTCGAACCGTATAAATAAGGCGGTCGGGCATATTGTGCCTCATGATGAAGTCGGATTGGATTGTTTTGCCCGAGTGATTTGAACTGTATGCTTA